CTCTCTCTCTCTCTCTCTCTCTCTCTCTCTCTCTCTCTCTCTCTCTCTCTCTCTCTCTCTCTCTCTCTCTCTCTCTCTCCACACACACACACACACACACACACACACACACACACACACACACACACACACACACACACACACACATTCTCTCTCTCGATAAACAATAATTCGCACAGAGGAGTATGAAGACAATTGGAAATCGAAAAAAAAAAAAAGGACGATAGAGGTTCTCCTTCCTTCGATTCCTCCAGAAAGAAGAAGCTCCAAGAAACCGCTAAATCTTATGCAATGCAGAAGCGATAAAATTGGCGATTCGATCTGCAACCGCAAATAATTTAATCCGGCCGAGAGAAGATTGTGCCAACCTTTGCCCGGCCGAATTCATCAGATTCGAGAAGTTTCCGTGATCTTATCAATGAAACCACCAGGAAGTGGTGGATGGCTCAATGGGAATCGAAGGTATTAAAATACGCTTGGCTCCGCGAAAATTTCAAGTATCTGACACAGAAAGTCCGAAAATTCTGCAAAATTCGCGATTTTAACGAGTATAACGCGTGGGGTTATTCGTTTATTCTCGAGATTTTTGTCCCTTTTCTTTTTTTTTTTTTTTCTATCTCGCTCGATTTCATCTTTAACAATATATTTAACAATCGTTCCTTCGATGCATTATAAAATTCACAAATGTTTTGGCTTTATCGATGAATAACTAACCAATTGGTATTTCGGGTCGTTCAATAAATGATCGAGTTTGAATCACTGATCCTTTATTTTATTAGAGAATTTGTTTGATGGTGGATATACAATATATATAATAATAATTGAAGGAATATTTTATTTACTTTCTGCAATTGTTATTAATCTTTTTAAAATATACAATCTCTCTCTATTATTTCAAAAATTCCATTGTAAGTTTCTTTTTCTTCGCGTAGAGAAATAGAGCTTTGCCAATTTTCAGAAATTAATCTAATTTACCACCGGTAACAGCCGATCATCATTTATTACAAGTGAGAATTGATCCAGTTAGATAAAAAGGAAATCGAAAAAGATACGAGTGATTTCCGCAAGCATCGAGAAACTAGATGAAACTAGTTAACGGAAAAATGTTGAAGCACGAACTGGCAATGAACGAGTGGTAAAGAGCGATGAAAATGGACAGAGTTGTATCCGAAGGCGATGTGACCTGCAAAAAGCGTATTAAAATTAATGAAGCACAAGCCGGTGAATTTATTCAGCAACAAGTTGCTCGCGATCCTCAGCGTTGAAACGCATTCATCGCCACGAGATACAAAGGTGCAACGACGCTGTTTTGAATCGGATCTGTGAATCGCTGTGTGAACGAGTTAATAGCGCGGACGGGGAATGCTTTTAACTCGATGGGTCTCGAATATTCGCGATCGACGTGTCCGTGACCGTGTACGAATATCATTCTATCTTGTTTATAACTAGAAAATTAAAAAACGATTCGTGACAAATTGTTAAATTTACTATTCTAATTTTAACACTTTGTTCGAGAAAATAAATAGATAATAAAAATAATTTTTGGGAAATCGAGGAAAATTAATCGATTTACGACGAATTATTATTGTTAAATTTATAAATGTTAATTTTAATTTTAATAACACGTTGTTTGATAAATAAATAATAAAGTTATATAATCTTCTGTTTATCGTTTCAAAGGTTTAATCCTGTCACGATGCGGTCATCGAATCGTGTTCAGACGATGAATCCATTCAACGAAATCGCGTTGTCGCCATCTCATCGACTTCTCTCACTAACCTGAAAGTTATTTCTGCGAGCTTCGATCGATCGAACTACGTCTCTGTCTGAAGTCGCTCACTCGTGCCTCGAGACGAGCTAATTATCTGCTACCTTCACTTCAGTCTCGTCACTCACGCGTGATGAGAGCCTTAACCTTTTAACCAGACTGCTCGTGCGAAATTATACGCCGTTATACGGACTACTCGTGCCATCTGTCTGCGTTCTCCACGTATTTTGCCAATTTTCTTGACAAAATTTCGTTAAATATGATATTGCGAAGTGATATTGAGAAGTTTTAAAATTGTGTAAAGAATAATACATGTATTAATTTAGAAATTTCATAGTTAAATGATAATATGGAAAAATATTTCCACGTTATTGATGATAGATAGAAGCTATAAATTTTTCTAACGATACAATGAATATTCGCAGATAGAGGTTATGAAAGTATTAAAACGTGATATTAGACCTATTTCACAACTAGATAGTTTGTTATATATATATATATATATATACATACAAGGATCGTTCCTGGACTAACAATTACCATGAATGGCTCTTGTCGGACGGAATATTCCAGTTTTCAACATAAAGCTTAACAGCTCGTAAGCATAATCGTGTCCCATAACGAAAGGATTAAGCAAAACGAGCGGATCCGTACACACAAGTCGCATTTTTCACCCCGTTTTTCTTTACACCAGATTATCCTTGATTAAAAGTCCAAACTCCGTAGCGAAATTCGCAGCCGAAAATAATATTCAGACCAGGGGAAGAATGTCTTAACAGAAATTAAGGTCGCAATATCTGCATTAAAGAAACGTTTCTCGGGCAGTGAAACGCGGCCGTTCACGTTTATCGCGCGAAACGAAGATCAAAGAACGCGATTATGTGCACGCGAAGATGAAATCTATCCTCTCGTGCTTTTTAACGTACGTACGTGAACGATTCGTCCGTGTTTCGTACCTATTCGTAGGGAAGTCTTGTACTGAAATTCCTTTCCATTTTTTTTTTTTTTTATATAAGAATTAGAAGAGAGGTGGTATGGAAGAAACATGGTAAAGTTCTCGAAGATGGAAAATCTATCCAAGATTTGTTTTGTAGTAACATTTCTTATATGCATTTGCATCCAGTTCTAAGTCATTGTTGTATCAAGCATAATATGAATTTTTTTTAAAAATTTACGAAAGTTGAATATTTTTCTTCACTTTTTTTTCAGTTCAAGAATTCCATCTGAAAAACAAAACTGTACAATTGATATACAAAATATAAGAAATGATAAACGGAATAATACGAAAAGGAAATTTAATAAGATCGATTGCAAAATTTTTTAACATAGTCAATTATATCTCAATCTGATTAAACGCTTGATTAAATCGTCTCGTTTCTTAAAAAAAATATCTCGATACAACCAATTTACAAAAGATACCTAGTTTTTTTAAAATATCTAGAAAGTCGGTCTTTTCAATATTATCAATTAGAATATAGAATATCGTTTGATTTTTTGTTCAAAAATATCTCTTTCGTACCATCTCTTTCCTGTTCTATTCTTCGCAAAATATTTATCAAAGAATTCGCATCGGATAATTCGGTTGCAAGCAGCGTTTAATTGATGACGGGCAACGCAAGAAAATACGTTCGATTACCGTGGAAATGGACGTACACAACACAGAAAAAGATATAGATACATACGCAGCGCCACAGCGGGCAACAAATTCACTAGTCTCTTCACCTTGCGCCACGCTATAGCACGCATCAGCCACAGTTCTGCGGTCCACGTGGTCTGGAACGATACGACGCCAGTTTGCGAAACGGATCGAGCGAGAACCGATTCGCTTGCGAATTGTATCGCCGTTGAGAATCCGATACCTGTTCTTTTTTTTCCTTCTCTTCCCTTCCCTTTTTTGTGAAATTCGAGAGGATGATATTGGAAATATTTCGAGACTTAATGACCTAGAAATCTCGTACGTTCATGATCGTTAATGCGGTAATAATGTACCTCTCGTGTTTTTCTTTTTTAACGGCAAATACAATATTGCATGCTTCGATAAATATTCTAAAAAATTTTTCGAAAATGAATCTCGAAAGTGTTACGCTTATCTCCCTCAAAATAGCTAAAATTTCGAATAAAATTACATTAAATTAATCGCGTAAATTCGTTTGAAATGACGTTGAAACGTTTATTCGTATAATTGATCCATTCTTTTCTACAACTTCAATCCTTTCGTAATACGTGTTTTATTCGATGCTTCGAATAACAAAAATTATCGACGTAACTTTCTCCTTAATTTCGACTAATTAAAATTTTGCCCATATTCGAAGAAATTAATCGATCAAGTGGCCTCTCCTCGACGTTCAAACGGATGCATCGCATTTATTGTCCTTCCTTCCCTCCTTCCCGAATTCAAAAAATATAGGAAAATCCAGATTCCCCCAGTTTTCGAGTTTCTCTAAAGTTTCGACGTTGGAAACGAACGGTGGAACGGTTGAGAACCTAGCAATGGGTCGGTGGGGGGATGAGAAGCTGCTTATGTATCCGAGTTGCAGATTCAACGATATTTCAAGAGATACGCCATCGCGTTTCCGCCCGCCTAACTAAGAGAGATTTACGGGAGATCTGACGCGAAAATTTCAGGCCAGGGATCCGAAATCACGTAATCACGAGCCTTATGACCGGCATAAATTCCTAGAAGGAAAATTGGAAAAAGGATATACTCGTTAAAAGCATCGGCTTAACCTGTTAACTGATCTAATCTTCTTCGTTCGCAAGATTAAAAATGATACGTTCGAATTAATTTCAATTTCAATTTCAATTTTCACCATGAACGTGAATTATTGGTTTGTTTCGAATCAAATAATATATATATATTTTGTAAAAAATTACCAAATTAAAACTTGGATTTTTTATCGATCCTTCCATTCCTTCAACTCGTGACGAATGATTATAAATCGAGGGAGAACGTGTTCCAACTTTAATTGTAAATGCTTATTCCAGCCGCATCGTTCCACTTAATCGAGCAACGGCTCTACCTGTTTCAGTGCTAGAACTGAAGGGCCCGGAGAGCACGAAGGCGAGAAGAAATGAGTTGGACGTGACACAATGACATGATGAAGAGCCTGGTGGGGATCATGTGGATAGTGTTGGTGCTCATATCAGGTATGTTCAATAAATCTATCCGACAATAAGACGTACTTGCCGTATTCGCGGCTATTATGTCACCGTGGACAAAGTTAAAATGGACGTTGGCGCCCGATTTATGGAATTTCCCCGATCGTCCAATCGTGTAGACTCGCGAATTCTAAAGTCTTATATATTGAAATTTTAAACGTTAAGCTTCAGATATCAAATATTCGTGATATTATATTTCAAACTATTTAAAACAAAACGTATAAAATTTCAAAATTTAAATGCGAAAAATTTTAATATTCGAGGATTCAAAATTCAGATCTACCTTGTTCAATTTCGGCAAGGCCACGATCGCGTCCGCCATTCTATTGTATAAAGCGCGGCAAGGCGCGAAGCCTATCATCTCTAGACAATAAAGCAGCCAAATATAACCGGCGACGAATAACTATCGTATAAGATACGACGCTTGCTGCATATGCATCAAGCTCTACTCTCACTTGGCTCCCATTCACATGTAAATGCTTCACGCGCGTTTACAATGGCGGCTATCAACGTCCAGTCCTTTTTCCACCTCTGGTGGTGGTTAACGAAACTTTCGGCCGGATCACGGGATGAATTTAAATTCTATCTTTCGCGAGAAAAATCCGCGCTCGTACCCGTTTCCTCGTACATCCTCTTCGTTTCTAAAACTTCCAAACATGTGAACACGTGTGCGACGTTTATTTTCTTAACAATGATAACGATATATATATATATATATATATTCAATATCGCCAAAATGAAGTTTTAGAGTCGACTGTTTCTTCATGTTCGTTACGAATAGAGTTAACGTTCGACGAGAAACTGGGGCAGGCCGTAATTTCGAAACGATGTGCAGGCACGAGAAAGAAAGAAAAAAGTTACGAGACGAATTAAGCCCGATTCGAAGTTTCCGCGAGGCTTAGCGCGCATGCGCACAAATGTGTAACGAGCGCCTGTATAGATCCTGATACCGCGCTTAATATGCGGTTCGTGTTGAACCAGTATTGTAATACGGCCGTGGTACAGGTGTTTGACCATTTGCGGGAATTGATGCTCTGTTCATGATAGTCGATAGAGGTTATACGTGTAATTGAAATCAATAAGGAAGAATCATAATTGGATTGTTTTCGATATGGAAAAATGGAATGCGATCATGTTCTCACTGTACTTGCCTATGCATGCTTGTCCTCATAAACACGATCGTATTCTATTTAGCCTTATTCTACTTGGCTTCGGTGGACACTTGTCTGACGATTCGTTGATTCGTATTACTTATCGAACTATGCATAAAGGTATAACACGTTCTTTCAAATTCGTTCTGTGGACTGGCTATTCTTGTTTCTTTAATCGATCACTTTAGATGATTTTTTCTATTTTAAACTATTTTTAAATAAAGTTACTTTCTTTTCTACGATTTTTCAGATTCATTCTATTTATTTTTATATAATTCTAATAGTTTGTTTGTCATTTAAATTAATTTTTTCGATTCGTATTTAATTGAACTAAAAAGGATTTCTATTTCAATAAAAAGAAAAAATTATAAATAATAATTAAATGTTAGATTAGCAATAATACGTACATATGTATTCTTTATTGAACAAGGATACAAAATATTAGAAACCTACTTCGTATCGATAACTCGTTTTTCTTTGTCTCTTATCGATTTCATCGTCGACTTGGGTTAACGCCGCCTCATTGAAAATCTCGACTAGAAAAGTTGCTCGCGTTTTTTCCCGGGAAATAAACAGCCGGATAAGTGGATACTCGGCCCGAGTGTCTTTTAAACGTCCGCCACACGCGATATTTCTCCATGTTTCTCGATATGTCCGGCTCATCGAGCAATCGTCTCGCGCGAAACGCAATATCGCTTTGGTAATATAGTGGTTCGTTCTTATTGCTCTTGTCCAAGTAGCAACAATTTCACGGACGTTGATTCGACGACCGATATCGTGCCTTTTTCTCTCGTTCCTTTTTTCTCGTCTGTTTTACCGATCGCGATGATTAAACACGATGAAGCTTTTTGTGGATAATTCTCATGTTTTCGCGAGCTTTTTAAGAGTTTTAAAAAAGATGTGTCTTTAGATCGATTCACCAATAGCACTATGAACTTTCGTTCATTCTTTTAAATTTAAATATTTGGACAAACTTACTGTTGTCTAGAAAATGTTTATTACGAATTTTTTTACGTTGGAAAACCGTCGAAAATCACTTTATATAAAATAAGCCGAAATATCAGAAAAGTTTAATTTTCGTCTTAAGTGGATGGAATCGTCTTTTTTTTTATTCGATTTAAGAATAATATTCTTGTATTTTTTTGTAAAATTTTCTTTTTTCTATCAAGAATCGATATCGATATATTATTTCGATAAATTTTACAATTTTATTATTTATTTCGGAGTATTAAGTAATCGACAAACAGAATATCTTTTTTGGGGTATATTAAACGGATTTTTAGATAGGAAATAGAAGAGGAATAAGAGTAATCAGTTTCGACTGACAAAGCCTTTCTTCCAATTGGTCAGCCACCGCAGCCTTTGTGCTCCCGAGTCAAAAATGCTCGGCACCGTTCTAACACAATTCTTCTTTCTCCGACTTAATCGTCGAACAGAAGGGGGAAGGGGGGAGAAAAAAAAAAGACTATCGTCCCGTCTGATACCATTAACGCTTGCTCAAAAAATCTATCTCGGATAAAACGAATTTTTATTCGTCGTTACATTGTCGATAACAAACGTTTCCTTGCCACTTGTCCAATCGATAGAAAGAGAGAGAGAGAGAGATTTCCCTCCAAGTTTCATTATCCATCTATTTTCATAGAGTTTAAAAGAACCGATCGATCAAAAGAGAACCAACAACGAGCATGAAAAAAAAAAAAAACTTAAAGTAAAACCAAACATTTATCGTTTCCCTTCTTTATATAAATTTTGTATAAGTTTCCTTCCTTGAAAATTGATTCTCGACGGGGTTCACGAAACGCGGAGGAACAATTGAAACGTAGGATTCGTTCGTGTAAGCTGGCGGATGCAGGGCCGCGCGATTCATGCGGTTTGCATCCGCTCCCTCGAAAACCAAGTCAGGCACGTACGAGGCGCACGTAATTTCCGGCTAGTTAACCGATTACTCACGAAAGATTGCGATCGAATCGATGGCCATCTGTTCGTGCTGCAGGTTATCATAATATCTCTGATCCACCGTACCACCACCGCTGGAATCGTCGAAACTCGTAATTTCGTTCCAATGGAAATCTCATCGTGAATATATTATTTCGCGAATCTATCGCTTCGTTCCACGTGAAGTAATCTTGGCGAAACTTGGCAATATTGCCTCGATTCTTTAAGAGAATTCTGAAAAGAGTATAATATAGGAATAAATGAAAATAACGTAGTTATGAAAAGATTGTTTAAATTTTACATATTTTTCGCTTGTTACAAATTTTGCAATGGATTGCACAAGGAGATATTTAGAGGAATTTATCGCTTTGTTCCACGTGAAATAATCTTGATCAAAGTTGGCAATATTATTTTAGAATCTTTGAAGAAAAGGAATGATAAGATGTTTTATTGAAAATTTTTTAAGATACACTGTTTAAAGCTTATTTTCACGAATAAATGAGAATGAATAATTTAGTTATGAAAAAATTGTTTAAATTTTACAAATTTTCGCTTGTACAAATTGCAACAGATGCAAAACGCGCAAAAAGAGAGGGGGGGGATATTCAGATTTATTTCGCTGCGTGAAAAGATTCTCTCGTGAAGAGATATCGTATCAATTTTTCAAATACACGTTCGAGATATTTTTGTTCGAAAACCATTTCAATTCAACTCATGGATATATTCTTCCTCTCAAGATTTTATTCACCTTTCCTCTTTTAACTCATTCATCAAACTTCAAAAAATAAATAAATAAATAAAGATAGGATCGTTTTGGACAACAGCATCCGTTAGAAAAATAAAAAAAAACGCGAGTAGCTGAATTCAAACGTAAAGTATACATTTTATTTTGTAATTTGAGAAAGCACGTCTTGTCTTGTTGCCGACGCGGACGAAGAAGGATCATTGCGAAACAATGCATCATCACAAAGATCGACGATCCCTTCCCTCCCCTGTGCAAGGTGTATCGTAAATATTCTGGCACAGCTTCAAAACTGCAATTGTAGCCACGGTTGCCCCCGTTGACGCGTATTATGAACCATCCTGGTACCGCTCCAGGAACCTCGTAAAACACCGATAATATAATGTCCGGAAACGATAAATAATATCTCTGCCGGGGGCGATGCCAGAGAAATCTATTACAAAATTAATTTGGAAACATTGAACGAAGGCGATTGATAACGAAGAATCCTTCCTTCCTTCCTCCTTTTCTTTTTTTTACGATACGAATTTTAATCTTTTGCGCTCGAAAGGCGAATCGTCGACGACACGCACAATGGTTCGAAGAAATGGACAAAATTATTTTTTTCTTCGATTTTAAGCTTATACGGAGATAGAGAAACGATAAACTAAATAGCGATAATTTAACAAAATAACAATAAAAACGATGAAATTGAAAATTATAAAAAAGCATTATAAGATGTACTGACCGTTCAAAGAGTGAATGAGATTTTATGAGATACATCAGATGTGCGGATAAGATTCTTTCCCCTTTTTTTTCAAATTCAAGATTTTATTACATAAATCGGGTACAAGATTATCCAATTGTTTCAATCGGATAGATACTTTTCTTGTGATTCCCGATCTTTCTGCCGATTTTTCTCGCGTCTCGATCGGATTTTCGTCAAGCGATTCCTCTATCGTTGTCGAACTTTCTCGGTGCGTCTGAACGATCGTCGTCTTCCAAATTAAAATTTCTAGCTTTAAATATTTAGTACCACTTTTTGCACGTTCCGTAAGATGCAGCGTTCTTTCTCAATGGCGCACACAAACTATTTTAGTAACTTTGATAGCCGATTTCTTAAGCTGAAACGCAAAAAATAAGCAGAGTGACGCGAATGACGCTTCTCGCACGCCATATTGCTCGAAATTGTTGAAATCCACACGACTGGAAACTCTTAGAGCGCTCGTCACGGCTCTTCTTAAAAACAAAAGATCGCTCTTTCAGATGGCGCCACATAAACGGTAAAATAATTCGAATTCAGTTAGAAGTTATGATGGTAGAAAAAAAAGAAGAAGGAACTTAATTGCACACCTAATGCAACACATATGCAAAATCATCTCGAATTGCTAATTCGCCTGATCGAAAAAATTGCGATAAACGGATGACACGATGATGCGTTTCTCTCAATTATTTATCACAGTAGCTTTTGATGATTTGGAATAAATGTACGCGACGACAACAACCGAACCGGCGGAAATTGTTTATGGAAATGGTGATAATTTGGTGATTATTTCGTTCGCGCATGTTTGTTTCACGCTGTTTTGCACTTTGAAATTAAACGAGAGATTTTTCCATCGACGATGAAAAATTGTATGGCAAAAATACGATATATCTATATCGCGCCGAATTTATTATGACGAAACGCGTTAAATTGCGAGGGAATGATAGATGGAGCAACATGTTCGGTTCAAAGATCGCGTGACTTTCGTGGTTTCGGGTATCGAGCAATTGCGATTCACGTTTATACGCGTTTCGGTTCGTTTCACGAACTGTTGTTCGCCTCTCTTCGCCGTTAAAAATCGTTTTTTCTTCGAAAATCGCTGTTCATTATATCGATCAAATTTAATACAATTGTAATCGCGTTTTTGTTCCAGGATGCTCGGGAAATCCAGATGCGAAGCGGCTATACGACGACCTCCTGTCGAATTACAACAAGCTGGTTCGTCCAGTGGTCAACGTCACAGACGCCCTCACCGTTAAAATCAAGCTCAAACTCTCGCAGTTGATCGACGTAGTAAGATAAAATAGAATCAAAGAGCAAAGAGACGATAAAGCCGCGATAGAGAAATTAAAATGATCGTTCGTCTTCTGTTTTTCTTTCCAGAATCTGAAAAATCAAATCATGACAACGAACCTCTGGGTAGAACAGGTGTGTGTGCGCGTGTATTATAATGTAATTGTTAACCAAATTTGAACAACCAAATCCGTCGTGAACTCCGACGAATTGAAAATTTTTTTTTTACTGGCAAAAAAATTAATATCGCGAATTAATTCCCGTGATATCGTTCGTGATAATTATCTAAATAGTGTTCTTCTACGGTTCAAGCGGAATCATTTTCCTTTACTCGACGAGGCAAAATTTAAGGCTTAATCTTGTTTGAAGGAGAAGGTGGGCGCGTGGTTTCGAGAACTCGAAAGATTCCGCTTGCATAAATCCCTCGTTTCTGGTAATCGTTCGAGTCGCGGCACCGTGCATTGTCTTTCCGTGAATGTACGTATAAAACGGGCGGATACGTGGCAAAACGAAAATCGGGAGCTCTTCCACTCGAGAGTCGCAAAATAAGTCCGGTGAACCGTGCAACCCACTTTCGAACGTTACGTAAGACAGATTCGCATCCGATCTCGTGCATCCATTTCGCCTCCCCCCTCCCCCTCCCCCCTCCCCCTCCCCTTTCTTTTATCGTTATCTCGCACGAAATTAGGGACCAAAAAAAAAAAAATTAGCAGAATCAATCACACGTGTATACTTAACTTTTTTCTTTCGAATTAAAATTATTCCAAGTAAGTAATCTTTTAATAATAAAGAGGGAAAAAATTTAATCACTGTTTCGAAATTATCGCAACAATCGTGTCTTCGATGTATTCTTAAAACAATAAAAAATCAACAAAGTGAGAAATCTCGCGAGTAAAGAAAACGATCGAGGGTTGTGTCTATTTGTCTACGCTCTCACGCTCCGCGTCCATTTTTGACGCGCAATTTCCCTTAATCGAATCCCCTCGATGAATCGTATTCGATGGTGGTTGATACACGCGGTACTTACGGGCCATTAATCTGTTAGACAGCGTGATCGGGTAAACGACCGTAAGTACATAAAGAGGAGCACACCCGATACATAATCAGATCAAATATTGGTGGCTCGTCGAGAACTCTCTCCTCCCCCCCCCCCGGTGTTCCCATAGTATATTAATGGAGGGTTGGCGGTGGCCACGTGTAACGAACGACCGAGAGAGGAGCGGGTGGGGAGTGGAGTGGCGGTTTCCCTCGAATTTCGTAAAACTTTCCAGTTTACCCTCCAGTTTACCGCGATCGACTTTATCGATAATAGCTTCGAATTCTGAGCGTAAAAGATATCCTCCTCCTCGAGAGAGAGTTGTCCAGGGAATCATAAAGTGAGTAGTAGAGTTTATACTTCGGATATTTCGGACTCGTTATACCTAATCCTAGTTTCGTTTTGGAAGATTTTCGAGAAACCAGAATACAGCGTCTTTTTCTCTGTTTCGTTGTGCAAATTCTGTAGAAATCTTGGAAAGCGTAACTTGTGTAAAGAATTATCCAGGGAATCATACGTGATAAAGTTTATATTTTGGCTATTTCGAATTTGTCATATCTAATTTTTACACTGCTTTCCCTGTTTCATTAATTAATTTCTGCAAATCGTGACTCGTAGAAATCTTGGAAAGTAATCTTTGTTAGATGAATCAATAATTAATAAGGCGTTGCGTTCTTGATTATCCTTGAATAATTAATAAAATAAATGTATGAATAATTAATGTAGTAGGGATGTAGGTTAGATTAGCAAATATTAAGTGTTTTGTTCTCAATTATGATTCTTCTGTTAATTCTAAACTGTAAAAATAAAAAGCTCGAGAATCTATTTTATCTCTATTCTCAATTATTCAATCAAGTAAGATTTATCGACTTAAAAAATTATTTAAAAATAAATTGTAGAAATATTTTTTCTTTTTTAACCAGTATATTCTGCTTACCTCGTCGAATGAATTATTTTTCCTTTTTTTTTTTCTTCTCTCTCTCTCATAAACGAGCTATCCGGGAAAAAAACTTGCTCTATTTCCTGTTAATTAACATTCTGTCGCATGCTCTCTGCGATCCCCCTCCGTCAATTAGCCCGACGTACAATTCCATGCAATCGCTCTTATCTTTCCCTCTTCTATATATTTCTCCCTCCTCAACCAAAGATATACAACAAAGATATATGAACGTGATAATTCAAATACATAATTTCGCTTTCGAATCGCTCGTGTAATAAATAACCGTATTCTCCATCTGTGTCGACGATTAATCGAGAAAAGAAAAGAAAGATATTCATTCTTCTAATTTGCAACGCGTATCCTCTTCCTTCTCTCTAGAAACCGTTAGACATACCATTTTGTATGTTGTGTCTCTCTTTCTCTCCCAGAAATTATCGCGGGCGTGGTAGAGGCGTGTGTGTATCATCCACGAGCAATGCAATGCAATGCATTCGAGAAACGAATGCGTCTCATCGTCGTGCATTTCGTGTTTTAATTAATTTCACCCGGGGAGGGAGAGGAGGGGTTGACAGACGTCAAAACTGTTCGTGTCGTGGACAAAGTAAGGCCGGCGGCCGGTGCTCGTGGCAGGCCGAGTTCCACGGAAACAATCCGTCGTGGAAAAAGGTGAAAAGAATAGAAAGGGGCGCGCGATAATCGGGCTGTGCGCACGAACGATACGGGGAGGGGAGGGAAAATGCAATTCTGGAACACGCTCCTCCTCCTCCTCCTCGTAATTCTCTCCTCGAAATATCCCTAGGAAACCATTGCGCTCGATTTATTTCCGGATTCTATCATTCGTCTGTGGAGGATATTTAAAAAAAAAAATAAATAAATAGATCAAAATTTTTGACGACTTGTCAAAAATTCACAGCGGTACGCGTTTTCGAGTAAATGCTTATCATTGTGTATTTTATCGGTTTAAAATGAACGAGGGACGAAGAATTTCAAAAACTCGTCGAAAATTTTAATATTCTGTTTCATTAATCGAGTCGCGTTGTACGTCTCTATTCCATCTTTGTGGAGGATGTTAAAGAATAAAAGAAATTGAATTTTAAATGACTGGTTATAGCAGTAACGTTTTCAAGTTTCTCGCTGCATAATCGAAACGTTTATTGTTACAGTCATGGTACGATTACAAGTTAAAATGGGATCCAAAGGAATATGGTGGGGTGGAAATGCTGCACGTGCCATCCGATCATATATGGAGGCCCGATATAGTTTTGTACAACAAGTAAGACCATCTTTTCGTCACTGTGAAAATTACGTTACTATCTCTAGCCAGTTAATGGATCTGACTTTGGAAAAGGTTACACGCATAAGAGATTGTCTAGAATTACTTGGCAAACTGCCACGAGTAATTTCCCCAATTTTGGAATTTTCATAACGGGGCGAAATTCGATTTGTTATTAATCCCCTCCCTATAAAATTTCACTCGTATCGCTTACCGTTTCGTTATTGCCTTTCGGCTATACGATTAAACGACGAGATATAACATTCGGTTCAACTTGGATAAAATATACGATAAAGAAAAAAATTTTTTTTTTTAGAACTCGAAATCGATCTATACGTAATTTTAAACGTTGCGAAAAAATTGATTTCGTAAAAAGATTCGATTCGATCTCGAAATTACATTAACATTTCGACAGAATGTATATATATATATATATATATAATCCCTCTGTCGAGAACTCTGTCGACATAGTAATAAAATTTTGTTCCAAATTTTCTTCACAACAGGTCTTTCTAGCGGGAAGAATCACAATTATTGATCGCATGATCGATTGTTTTCATGGAACAGTGCCGACGGTAATTTCGAGGTGACGCTGGCAACGAAGGCGACGCTGAATTACACAGGGAGGGTCGAATGGAAGCCACCGGCCATATACAAGTCTTCTTGCGAGATCGACGTAGAATATTTTCCGTTCGACGAGCAAACGTGCGTCATGAAGTTCGGCTCGTGGACTTACGATGGCTTCCAGGTAAACCTTCCACATTTTTCTTTTCACTAAAATGAAAAATTCCTTTTCGCATCCCCAGAAAGAGAGAGAGATAGAGCTGTTAAAAAATATTGAAAAAGGAAAATAAAGTTGTACCAAGAATCGTAATTTATATAAAATTTAAAAAAAATTATTTTCGTATTGTTCGCGAGATTGTAAACAGACATTTGTTCGGGAAAGTTCTCTGTGAAGGTCCTTTCCTGTTTCCAGCGGGCCGCTAATAGACCTGAACAAAGAGTGATAAGTGATACTTCTGAAGTACTGTTTTTATGCGTTTGGTCGACGGCCTGGGTCGATTCTCAAGTTGACTTTGCGTGCTAACACTGCTCTTTGTTTGGAGGCTTAGGAAGGACGCTGTACTGTTTATTTGTCATGCGATCTGTGTATAAGTCACCGCCCGTGTGTGTAATTTCTTTGTCCTTGGACCATGTTGCACTGCCTGCGATGTTATTGGTCGTTGGCATACCCCACCAAATACCATGACCCTCCCAATTAGCCAGGAAGGGATTCAAGTGAAAACACGGTTACTTCTTCGCTTCTTCTAACTTCACTTCCAAAGAGAATCTCATGACGATCGCCAACAATCGGTTAGTAATATAGAGATCGTGCTTCGATACGATCACATTGTTGAGACTTTGTGGAAGACACTGGTATACAGTCCACAAGTGGAACTACATTAACATCGGGCGCGAACACGTATCTTTTTCTCTCTGTATGCGAAGAACGTTAGTCGGCAAAAAAATTCCGGATGGAAAGAGTTAATAAAAATAGAGCAAAACAGGTTAACACGTGTCCATCCATCGAAGGAACTGAGAAAGCATCAATGATTAGAAATTAGATTAAGAGAGTGTAATTAAGCGAGCGGCGTATAAAGAGCTTGGGATATTTGTTTATTTGCACGTGTTATTTGCCACATCTCGTACGAAAAGCTTCATCCGAAATGCTTATCACTATTCATGAGATATGTGGAACACCGTGGCCGCGGATGTACGCCGAATGAAACGCGCATAAATTTCTCGTGATTAACGCCTCCTTCCTCGTCTGCCGCACAGACTTGTTTATTATATACCGCCACCGTGATCATATTTTTCCATTTGTGACGCCGTTAAAGTCGTTGTGTCTCGTATGTGTGATCATCCGACCGAATTTTTTATTTTTAAATGTGCGCGGCCCTTTAAAGTTCCAACGCAGACAGGCTAATTTTTTTTTTTTTAACAACATTTACAATCGAAGATTCAGAGCAGTGATTCTCAACCTTTTTTCGATCACGATTTACACTTTTAATAATTTGGCAGCACGCTAATAGCAAAATAAATTAATACATATAATTTTAATATAATTTTGTAAAATTAGCATAGGATAATAATTTTCAACGAAAAATAAGATGAAAATTGCATTAAACAAAATGTTTATTTAATGATAAAATTACAAATTACACTTAATGCCAAATTTGAGCTTAATGTTTTTTGATAACCTTATTTATATTCGTAAAAATAATAATGCTAAATAATGCCATTTCCGGATTTAAAAGTCTGGATCTTTTTTCCACATTTTTTTTCGCACAAATAAGATATTGAGAAAATTGTAATAACAACTTTTTGCGATATTGTCGGATATCTAAGATTATAATCCAGAACGTATAAATAGATTCTGCATTCTGTAAAATGTTATTACCTCTTCGGTTCAAATGATCGAATAAATATTTGGACTGAATGTAATGTCAATTGATAAAGAAATGTAAAAATAGTAAATAATTTTCATTTCGGAAAGCGGCACATTGGTTGAAAATCACTGATCTAGAAAGAAGAATTTTCACGTTAAAGGACCGTTGAAAAATTTGAGCTTCGAAGTTTCGAAACTGGCCGTTTCGAATCTTTGTTGCCTGGAAGTAATAATCGAGCATTCCAATAGAGTTGGAACGAGGAATCTCGTTAACTCCAACTTAACGGCCAGAAATGGGCGTAAATATCAGGAACATCGAATGGCATTCCATCCCTCAAATGGATCAAACGTATCTACCGTAATACCTCGCGTTTCCTCTATTAACCTGACTGATTGATACGTTCTATTCCCAAGTTCGCTGAACAATGATGAATCCTTGTTGAAATCGAAATAAATAAGAGGACTTGGAGAAAGCGAGAAAGATAGTTTCTTTTTCTTTTTATTTTCTATTAAAGCAATTCTGTAAAAAAAAAATCTTTCTATCTCTTTTCAAACGCACGATTCGCTTTGATTTTCGCAGGTTGATCTTCGACACATCGACGAAATTCGTGGCAGCAATGTCGTCGACATCGGCGTTGATCTGTCCGAGTTTTACACTTCCGTCGAGTGGGACATCCTCGAAGTCCCAGCCGTGCGGTAAGCCATTTACTCTCCGATCATTTTTATTAAATACTTTTCTTCGTTTGTCACTCACTTTCTAGTGTCCAATTTAATCCGCAAAGAGACCAGAAAACAGGATAAAATATCCCATATTGCGAGCGAGCATTGAGTGGGTCGAACAAATTGAAAGTCTTAAATTTTTTGCTTTCCCTGCATTTCTCTTTTTCTCCAACTCGACTCGATCCTCGAGAGATTGGCCGAAACGAAATTTGCACGAAAATATGCTGTTGCTTTTGTCCCTTTAAGGAATCACATATAGCGATTTCATTTGCAGAAATGAAAAATTTTACACGTGTTGCGACGAGCCCTACCTCGACATCACGTTCAACATCACCATGAGACGGAAGACTCTATTTTACACTGTCAATCTTATAATACCGTGTATGGGTATCTCGTTTCTCACGGTGTTGGTCTTCTATCTGCCAAGCGACAGTGGCGAGAAGGTGAGAGCCCGCTTTTATCAAGTCGTCCATTTTAATTTTCCATTTTCTTCTTTTTTTTTAGTTCTCGCTTAACCTTTTGCGTTCCAAGGCACCACTCGGCGATTCGAACGGCGACGATGTTTATTTACTTCGGTTTTTTTAAAATATCGTTTCACGAATAGATTCCTTGACTCTTTACGTGTAATCTTATTAAAACGTGGAATAATAGTCCGAGTTCGACGAGTTCAGTGGCGATAGAAATATTATTTTCAATGTTTTCGAAGTTTTGTAAGCATGAATAAATTATTTTGTGTGCAATGAAATTAATTTTCGAGCAAAGATGAGTTTGATTTTTCGTTATCGAATAACAAAATTATTTCTATTCGTTCTATCGACGACAGAGAGAAGGAGAATAGCAATGAAAATAGAGATGCTGCATAAGAAGATGAAAAATTGACAAATCGAGGATGCATCCTGGCGATTATTTTATTATTAAAATATCTCGCAAAACAACTTATATAGACTTTGATCCGACTAATTTTTTTTCTTTGTACTTTCTTTATAAAGATACGAAAAATATTAAAATATAAAAGTTTTACACGTTGATTTACGCGTGAAATCACTTTAAATTAGCTAAGAAATTCATCGAACGAGCCTTTCACCGAGCGAAAAAGGAGCGCAAAAAGTTAATCTCTTCCAATAATAAAAATCGTAAACTAACTTTCCTCCGCGCGATCTTTGTTTTAACTTTTCATCGTAGAAAATTCTCGATCGAAGGATTGATTCAGGTTTTAACAGGTTGATCGGTGATGAATTTGTTGCCTAAAGTTGAAACGTTTTACGGGAAGGAAAAGTTAGTGGCGAGGATTTAATATAAGACTCGCGAAAGGGGGCGTGGCGAGAGTGTATCGATAAATTTCGTCGTCGCAGCGCCGCGGCCAATTCGAGAGGAAAGTAAAGCCAATAAGGGATATTAAATTCGTCGTCGCACGTCACGTGACAGGATAAAACGGGCGAGGAAGCGCCCCCATTCTTCCATCCTTTTTCCGCACAGAGAATCCCCTTGGAATTTCTTGAATTCCCCCCCTTCTCTGAAGATGATATTTACGCCTGTGTTAAACGCCCTTTTCAGATCCGCCTTCGATATCAAATAATCGAATAAGTAATCGAGAAAGATATTTTTCATC